TGGGCTCAGGGACTGAACCCCACAATTCATTTAGCTAAGCAAGTTACAATCTTGATGAGCTAGTTACAAAATTCAATATAAGTCATCACATCAACAATGGGTTCGAGATCGACCTCAAGTACAGGTTCTAACTTAAGCAACTGACATATGTGGAGAGCTAGTGTCACAATTGATATGTTCGAGGTATGGTTAAAATCTTTACATTTAAAGCATTGAGTGGGACGCGGTACATACACCTCTAGACCGTTTAAGTAAATCCTCTCAAGGGGGGACTGTAGTCTAGAAAGGTAAGCAGAGCAGTGCCTGTATCACTCAGTTCTCCGTTTGTTTTTCTTATCAATTTTTTTACTCCATAGATTTAAATATCATCTGTCTGAAGTTGAGTCTTAATGTCGTCTGCACTGATGGCTGTACTTACAATCAAAAGTTACTCACCTAGCAGTAAATAGGTACCTGGGAGTTAGACAGCTGCTACGGGCTGCTTCCTAGGGATGTGTAACAAAAAGGAGGCCTGTGTCGAGGACCGGGCCGCGGGGACGCTAAGCCAGGAAATCATCTCAAGATAACCTCAAGAAGAAGATAAGATAACCAGAAGACGCAAAAAAACAGAAAACGGGACAGTACGTCACTTTCAGGAGCAGCTTCCAAGTTCTATTCGGCAAAACAAATCGATATTCGACAAAGATATTTAATGATGGCAGATATAAACTACTTTACTTTCGCTTCTGTAAATGCTAACTCCAATAACAAGAATATTTACAGAGTGTCTGTGTGTAATATTCGCTATGGCAGGGGCAAGGAGGTGTGGCAGGGCTGGGGAGTGTAGCAGGGGCTGGGGAGTGTAGCAGGGGCTGGGGAATGTGGCAGGGGCTGGGGAGTGTAGCAGGGGCTGGGGAATGTGGCAGGGGCTGGGGAGTGTGGCAGGGGCTGGGGAATGTAGCAGGGGCTGGGGAGTGTAGCAGGGGCTGGGGAGTGTAGCAGGGGCTGGGGAGTGTAGCAGGGGCTGGGGGGGGTCGCAGGGGCTGGGGAGTGTAGCAGGGGCTGGGGAGTGTGGCAGGGGCTGGGGAGTGTTGCAGGGGCTGGGGAGTGTAGCAGGGGCTGGGGAGTGTAGCAGGGGCTGGGGAGTGTAGCAGGGGCTGGGGAGTGTAGCAGGGGCTGGGGAGTGTAGCAGGGGCTGGGGAGTGTAGCAGGGGCTGGGGAGTGTGGCAGGGGCTGGGGAGTGTAGCAGGGGCTGAGGAGTGTGGCAGGGGCTGGGGAGTGTGGCAGGAGCAGGGAAGTGTGGCAGGGGCTGAGGAGTGTGGCAGGGGCTGGGGAGCGTGGCAGGAGCAAAAATTGCGTTAGGATGAAGAAATATGTGAGGTGTGTGTTGCCAGCTGATAGATATACAGTATATTATTAATTACGAGGTTCGTCTAATTACCCAAAACATCCTACATTACGTAAGTAATGAAGAACTATGATATATTTACTTACTATAATATTGGTGCTGAATGTACAACATGAAAAGACTGATTTTTACTCGAAAATAATATTATTTTAAAATGAAATTTTCGGTCCATTACCCAAAGCCACGACACTGTTGCTTGGATCGTCGACTTCCTGTGGCGTCATCTGCTACTTCATTTTTATTTATTTATATATACACGAGTTCTTACATGCTTGTACTGGTCTAATTTGTAATTTAATTTATTGTCTAATTAGTAATTTAATTTATTGTCTAATTTATAATTAAATTTATTGTCTAATTTATAATTTAATTTATTGTCTAATTAGTAATTTAATTTATTGTCTAATTTATAATTAAATTTATTGTCTAATTTATAATTTAATTTATTGTCTAATTAGTAATTTAATTTATTGTCTAATTTATAATTAAATTTATTGTCTAATTTATAATTTAATTTATTGTCTAATTAGTAATTTAATTTATTGTCTAATTTATAATTAAATTTATTGTCTAATTTATAATTTAATTTATTGTCTAATTTATAATTTAATTTATTGTCTAATTAGTAATTTAATTTATTGTCTAATTTGTAAATTCGTCTAATTTCGTTATAAAATTATATTATTTCAGAGCAAAGATAAGTTATTTTTACATGTTCAACATTCAGTGCCAACATTATAGTGAGTACATGTATCGCAGTTCGTCCTTATTTACGTAGTGCTAGGAAGCTTTGAGTAACTTTGAGTAGCTCTGGGTTAACTTAAGATCTTATCTTGAGATTATTTCGGGGTTTAGCGTCTCTGCGGCCCGGTCCTCGACCAGGCCTCCTTTCTGTTACACATCCTCAGCAAGCAGCCCGTAGCAGCAAACTCCCAGGAACCTATGTTCTGCTAGGTGAACAGAAAAGAAAGGTGAAAGAAACCGTTCAGGGTGAAAGAAACTCTGCCCATTTGTTTCCGCTTCCTCCAGGGATCGAACCCGGAAACTTAGGCCTACGAATCCCGAGCGCTGTCCATTCAGCTATCAGGCCCCTCATTAGTAATGGATAATTACTAATTGGTAATGGGTAATTAGAAATGTCTGGGTAATTAGACGGATCGGTGGTAGGGAGGTGTACCAGGGGCAGGGGAGAGTGGCAGGGGGAGTGTGGCAGGGGCAGGGGAGTGTGGCAGGGGCAGGGGAGTGTGGCAGGGGGAGTGTGGCAGGGGCAGGGGAGTGTGGCAGGAGCAGGGGAGTGTGGCAGGGGGAGTGTGGCAGGAGCAGGGGAGTGTGGCAGGGGCAAGGAGGTGTAGCAGGGGCAAGGAGGTGTAGCAGGGGCAAGGTGTGGCAGGGGCAGGGGAGTGTGGCAGGGGAGTGTGGCAGGGGAGTGTGGCAGGGGAGTGTGGCAGGGGAGTGTGGCAGGGGAGTGTGGCAGGGGCAAGGAGGTGTAGCAGGAGCAAGGAGGTTTGGCAGGGGCAGGGGAGTGTGGCAGGGGCAGGGGAGTGTGGCAGGGGAGTGTGGCAGGGGCAGGGGAGTGTGGCAGGGGCAGGGGAGTGTGGCAGGGGCAGGGGAGTGTGGCAGGGGAGTGTGGCAGGGGAGTGTGGCAGGGGGAGTGTGGCAGGAGCAGGGGAGTGTGGCAGAAGCAGGGGAGTATGGCAGGGGCAAGGAGGTGTAGCAGGGGCAAGGAGGTGTAGCAGGAGCAAGGAGGTGTGGCAGGGGCAGGGGAGTGTGGCAGGGGAGTGTGGCAGGGGCAGGGGAGTGTGGCAAGGGAGTGTGGCAGGGGAGTGTGGCAGGGGCAAGGTGGTGTGGCAAGGAAGTTTGGTGTAACTCCACAAATATTTGATTCACTGCAGCAAGTAGAGTCAGTACACCCAGTACACTGTGTGGCCAGAGTGACGGTCCTTGACAACACGAGGAGAGTCACACCTCAGTGCTGCTAATGTCCACAGGTGCGGCGAGGGCACCTCAGGTCAGCTGACCTCCCCCTCTGACTAAGCTGATAATTGCACCAGATTGCCTATCTTCTTTCCATCAAACGAGCCGCCTTGTCTAGTGTGCTGGGACAGCTGGGGGGGGGGGGGTGATATCTCCAGTAGGCGGGACTTAGCTCCTGGGTTCCCTTCCCAAAAGCGAGCAATGGCACAATGTCGAGGAGATAGGAGGATCCTCGTTCGAGGCTACATTCTACTAAGGCCTGTCCTGGCCTTACACTAAGTTTACCCTCTCATCCGTTTTCTAATCTACACTTTCCCTTTCTCTGCACTTCTCCACTCGTCCTCTCTCTCTCTCTCTCTCTCTCCCTCTCTCTCTCTCTCTCTCTCTCTCTCTCTCTCTCTCTCTCTCTCTCTCTCTCTCTCTCTCTCTCTCTCTCTCTCTCTCTCTCTAGTTCCTTTCTTCTATTTTGTTTAATCTTCGTTGTCTGTCTGTATGATATTCTTTCTTCTCCCCTTCGTTACAGAGGCAGGAGCTGGTGGGTGTGGCAGGGGCGGGGGAGTGTGGCAGGGGCTGGGGGAGTGTGGCAGGGGCTGGGGGAGTGTGGCAGGGGCTGGGGGAGTGTGGCAGGGGCGGGGAAGTGTGGCTGGGGCTGGGGGAGTGTGGCAGGGGCTGGGGAGTGTGGCAGGGGCTGGGGAGTGTGGCAGGGGCTGGGGAGTGTGGCAGGGGCTGGGGGAGTGTGGCAGGGGCTGGGGGAGTGTGGCAGGGGCTGGGGGAGTGTGGCAGGGGCTGGGGGAGTGTGGCAGGGGCGGGGGAGTGTGGCAGGGGCTGGGGAGTGTGGCAGGAGCGGGGAGTGTGACAGGGGCTGGGGGAGTGTGGCAGGGGCGGGGGAGTGTACCAGGGGCGGGGGAGTGTGGCAGGGGCTGGGGAGTGTGGCAGGGGCTGGGGAGTGTGGCAGGGGCTGGGGGAGTGTGGCAGGGGCTGGGGGAGTGTGGCAGGGGCTGGGGGAGTGTGGCAGGGGCGGGGGAGTGTGGCAGGGGCTGGGGAGTGTGACAGGGGCTGGGGGAGTGTGGCAGGGGCGGGGGAGTGTACCAGGGGCGGGGGAGTGTGGCAGGGGCTGGGGAGTGTGGCAGGGGCTGGGGAGTGTGGCAGGGGCTGGGGAGTGTAGCAGGGGCGGGGGAGTGTGGCAGGGGCTGGGGAGTGTGGCAGGGGCTGGGGGAGTGTGGCAGGGGCTGGGGAGTGTGGCAGGGGCTGGGGAGTGTGGAAGGGGCGGGGGAGTGTGGCAGGGGCTAGGGAGTGTGGCAGGGGCTGGGGAGTGTGGCAGGGGCGGGGGACTGTAGCAGGGGTGGGGGAGTGTGGCAGGGGCTGGGGAGTGTGGCAGGGGCTGGGGGAGTGTGGCAGGGGCTGGGGGAGTGTGGCAGGGGCGGGGGAGTGTGCCAGGGGCGGGGCAGTGTACCAGGGGCGGGGGAGTGTGCCAGGGGCGGGGGGGAGTGTGCCAGGGGCGGGGGAGTGTGCCAGGGGCTGGGGGAGTGTACCAGGGGCGGGGGAGTGTGCCAGGGGCGGGGGAGTGTACCAGGGGCGGGGGAGTGTACCAGGGGCGGGACTCACCCCCTGGGAGGCGCTCTACAAGGCTCCGTTGTCAGTCACACACAGCCAGCGAGGAGGGAGTGTCGCGGCTACACCCAGTGCTCTCGCGGACGTGTGGAGGAGAAGTGCAAGTGTACTGTGTACTCTAGGAGAGGGCCGCCCGCACCA